AGAGGAGGAGAGGAGAGAGGAGAGCGAGAGGAGAGGAGAGGAGGAGAGGAGAGGAGGAGAGGAGGGAGGAGAGGAGAGGAGGAGGAGAAGAGGATGTTATGTTTCTGAATGTTTTTATAATATAATAATATATATAAAATGTATTATTATTATTATTATTATTATTATTATTATTGTTATTATTATTATCTTCACTACACGTCAGAGGGAAATATTAAACATGCATTTTAACCACTACATGTCCAACAGCTGTGGTTACTGGTCACTTTAACATTTTACATACAAAACATGATTAGTTTATAAATGTGATGATATTTAAAATATTTTGTATTATTATTGAATAAATTACCCAACATTACATTAAATACTTCAAATTAGCTTCATATCCACCAATTACAATAATAAAATGTTGCTCACACGCGTCTCTACGGAAGCTGAGAAAGGCCAAACTCGCAAATATTTTTTACCCCGTTATCTCAAGATAACGAAGCTCGTTATCCCGAGACAACGAGATAATTATCCTGTTCTCATCATAATTACTGAATACTGACAGAAAATACTATAAGAAAATATAAACAATCTACAACCAGCAGATTCTGGAGGATTTCTGGGGATGTTTTGCTCATAAATATGACAAAGATAATTAATCAATTATCAAAACAGCAGCTGATTGATTTTCTGTAAATGAATTGATTGATCGTTTCAGCTCTAAAATAAATAAACAGTATTTATCCAGTGGATTCTGGCTGAGCAGTAAGTTCTGGTCTGATGTAGGAATCATGGGCAAGTTGGAAACCCCCAGAAATCAACAATGATGATGACTGAATGAATGAATGACTGAATGAATGAATGACTGAATGAATGAATGAATGAATGAATAAATGAATGAATGAATGAATGACTGAATGAATGAATGAATAAATTAATGACTGAATGAATGACTGAATGAATGAATGAATGAATGAATGAATTAATGACTGAATGAATGACTGACTAAACTGACTAAAAACAGAAAGATAAAAATATGTTCATATATATATAATTTTTATTAATTTATATACATATTTATATATATATAAAAATATAAATATTTATATTCAGTTTAGTGTCAATGAACAGTATAAAAGAGGAAATATTACAAGCAGCTGATTCTGGGCGAGTTCTGCTGATAAAAATGACGCGGATGATGATGTTATTAAAACTGGCTGATGCACTTCCTGTCATCGACGCACCCGTCGACAGTTTAAACGTGAAGACGTGAGAAGATCTTTGACTCCTTCTTGTTCATGTTCGGTTCTGTATCTGTGTTGGAGTATTGATCGGTATTTATTTGATCAGTTTCCCCTCAGAGCTTCCTGACAGTTGCAGTTCTCATGTTTCTTCCTGTTTCCCGCCACAGGTGACCAAGATGCTGGCCGTGGTGGTGATCCTGTTCGCCGCACTGTGGATGCCGTACCGGACTCTGGTGGTGGTGAACTCCTGCCTGGACCGGGCCTACCTGGACACCTGGTTCCTGCTCTTCTGCCGGATCTGCATCTACCTCAACAGCGCCATCAACCCGGTCATCTACAACGCCATGTCTCAGAAGTTTCGCGCCGCCTTCCGCAAGATCTGCCGCTGCAGGGCGAAGGGCTCGGATAAACCCGCCACCTACAGCGTGGCCCTCACCTACAGCGCCGTCAAGGACACGTCGATGGTGGAGAGCACCGACCACTTCACCACGGAGCTGGAGGAGCTCACCGTCACGGACGAGCTGCTGTCCAATCAGAAGATGATGTTTCCAGACGCCTGCGTGTACGGGAAGGTGAACTTCAGCGACGCCTGAGGTTCGTGGGAGGATTCACGACTCTGCTGAGTGGAGAGATTGTTTCCTGAGCGCCTGCCGACCTTTGGGACGGCAGGACGCTGCAGCTCGAGATGTAAACACAGATTACACGGCTGATGTGTAACGACAGAATCATCCTGGACATGAAGCCACAAACATCCACAGATACAGGAAGTGCTCCGCTTTTATCTTATCTGAACCGCACGAGTCAACAAAACATGACGGGAACAGAAACACTTCACCTCACTTCAAACATCCATCAGCTCGGACTCAGCTCTGATTCTTAAAGCTGCACATTCACATCTTGTGCACAGCTGATCAGTGACGCTTTAAAACCAAAGGATACCAAAGACACAAAGATCGTCTGGATGGAGGCGTGGAATCCAGTCTTTATGTTCTCATTCAACATTTTCCAGGACTGAATCTACCATCATCCAGCCCCCCCCCCCCCAATATCAGGGCAGGTGGTCCTTTAAAGGGTGAGTCACACCTGAGCCCTCACTTACAAAACAGGCCCTGCTTTTATTGTGAAGGACACAAACACAGCCTTGAGCACCTAGTGAAAACCAAGACAGACTGCTGAGTGGTGGAGGCTGAAACAGGAGAGACAATGAAGCACTTTGTGAGTTTAATTTAAATCTACTATTTGCTGCTTCAGCCTCGTCCTGGTTCTGTGGTAAACGTTTTAAGGGTTTATAAGTTGTCACTAATGGATTTTATGTATAGATCAGAATTGATTTCATAACACGTTATAGATTAGCATTAAGCATTTTGTAAGTAACATCAACCTCTGTGTCAGAAAAGTGAAGCTGAAACTTGCAGTTCCTCTAACGACCACTAGAGTCTGGCTCCAACAGTGAGTCAGTCCCCATAGACTCCCATGTTAAAATGTCCAACTTTACAGCAGAAATAAACATGTTTACAGCCTCAGAATTCACCTCTGCTCCGCCCACGCTCCTCCTCTTTGACCATATTTGGAGTAGGTGGGAGTTAGGGGGCGGAGTCAGGCACTGCCAAGATGGCGGTGGTGGAGCAGCTCACTGTGAGCTTCAGAAACCTGTGGATGATGTCACAGAGGTGACATCCATCTTTGTTCACAGTCTATGAGCTTTTCTCATGTAGCTAAAGGAATATTCTTAGAGATTCATGAAATTACAAATTATTTTCACTTTTATTTATGTTCAGCATTTTTCAGCAACATCCAGTTAATAGATTTGAATTCAGTAATGATGCTTCTACACAAGAGTTATTGTTGGTGGTGGAGTCTGACAGACGCCTACAGGAAGTAAGTGATAATGCATTATTTCCTGTATGTATAGGTTTGTTCTAAGACTGTGTCTCAGGTAGAACAAACAGTCAGACTGAGTCTGTTGCACAAAGCAGTTTAGTTCTGGACTATCTTAAGCCGGACTGTGGTACAATGAATTCTGGGTAAATAAAAAAATTAAAAAATGGCTGACTGAGGAATCACATCCAACCACTCAGCTGTGTTTACCTTCAGCAGAACATGTTTGTCTTTAGGAAAAATTCAACAGCTACAAGACGTTTTACTTTGAAGAGTGAAACAATACAAAGAAAAATCTGATTTGGAAAGAAAATGGCCGACGTCTCTAAAAACTCTTTCCCTTCTCCACAAATTTCGAGCCATGTTTTCCTGTTTTTTTTTTTGTTGCTGGGTGCTGCTGGTGTCATTGATCGTTACCATGGTAACACTGGTCTGGGTGTGAGGTGTCTAATGTCTGTATTTTTGTGAAAGTTTCTTGCATCAGATTAATCTACGAGCAAAAAGAAGAAATTAAAGAACAAATCAGAAATTAATAACGACAAAACAGAAGATGATGGTTTATTGTAGAGAGCGTAAGCTAACACCTGCTGCGTCTGGTTGCACGTTTCACCTGTGTTGCACCTGTGACCACTCCTACTAGTGATGTCACTGTGACACACCTGGGAGTGCACCTCTACATCACTGCTTTTACATTTGCCAAGCTGCTCTGTTAGCCTTTATAAACACATTAATGAATGTATTACTACATATATTCACATGAATTAATACAGAACTGATGGTTTCATTTATAAAGTAAGAGAGTTATTTCTACATTTCCTAATAAACACCAAGTTAATAAACTGTTAATATAATATTCAGCACTAGTTACAACTTATAAACCCTTTAAAATAAATATGCCTTATTAGACAGAAATATCTCCTAATATCTTAAGATGTTATTTTCTCATAAATCTGAAGAGTTAACAGATTGTTTTAGCAGCAGCAGCAGCAGCAGTGGCTGTAAAGCTGTTTTAAAGGGACAGTCTGTATATAGAGCGACAGAGAGACAGTGAAACATAAGGACCGTGTCGACAGGATTTCGCTGCAGCTCCATCTCAGCATCAGTGTTTGTGATTTCCAGCTGAGGCAAAGTGAACGTGATGTTTGAGTCTGTGTTTTAACGAACCGTGGCTTTTTGCTTCTTGGTGGTGAGAGCGTCGGTGAGCTGGTGAACGCGGCCGGATGGACGTGTGAGGTTTAGATATTCTGCCACATCAGTGACTGTTTATACATTTCTGAGCACAATCCACCACAGGGGAATATGATTGGGCGGCAGCAGCAGACGCAGCGGAGGAGGGTGAAGCTCTCGCTCTGAAACGGTTTCATTCACTTCTCTATGTTGAAAATATCAAATAACGGCTGTTGTTTTATTTGATTGTACCAACACTGTACATGCTCTGAGTGCCTGTAGATTCATGCGCTTGTGTTTGTTCCCTGTGTATTTAAAGTGAGTGTTATTTATGGAAACTCTTCTGTTTGTAAAGTGGAAAAAGAAAGTTATCCGTATATTTTTATGCCACTTTTACTTCCATTATTGTCCATTAAAACATTAAAAATATTATTTTGTGATTTCACTATTTGGAAGATGCTGCTTTAGTCTCTGCTTTTTAGATAAACGTGATCCTGTGAGTATGTTGATGGTTCTCTAGAAATTGTTAATTTGTACATTTTAACTTTATGGTCTGAATAAAGTTGTTTCTGGAATTTGTTTTTTTCTCTCTTTATTTTTATTTTCTTGACAGAAAAAAACACATTAGAGGGTGTCAGTCTTTCTCTCGGACGTTCATGTTTTCATTTTAATTTCTACTGATCTCACTGTTCATAACATGTTCATTAATGTTTTTATATAATACAGATATATGATGATGAATCATCAACACAATGACTGAGTGTTTCTACCTTGAACTGCAGTGAACCAATGACAGGCTCATAAACACAGACTCAGACAGTCAGAGACTCATACGTCACAGACCTGAGGAACCAATCCTTACGACTTGTGGGGACGGGGGGCGGGGCTAAATACACCTGTCAGTACAGAGAGAGAGAGAGAGAGTTAGCATTAGCACAACCACCAACACTGTGTCAGCCGCAGCCAGTTACAAGCTAACAAACAACATAAACAAATAAAAGACGCTAACTGTGCTAACCGTTCTGAGAAGATGCTAACAATGCTAACCATTCTGAAAAGATGCTAACTACAATGAATAATTATAGTAGTAATAGTAATTATGAATCATAGCAGAAGATTTCTACAGAGGTTAAAACACATCTGGAGGAACTTTAACAAAAGTCAAATCTCTATGTGAAATGTGAACGTCGTAGCTCAAAGTCATGAAGCTACAGAGAAAGATCAGACTCTGCAGTTACCTTTAGCTCCTTTTAGCATCTTTAAGCTAATTGTTTTTGATTTTCCTGAGCAACACTTTACTGTTTTACTTCCACACACAACAGGCAGCAGTTTTGAGCAAAACAAAAAGTTTGAGCTGGTGAAAATAACGGAGGATTCAGCAGGTAAAGAGAAGTTTGAAGTTAAAGCTATATTAAAGTGATAATTTGTTAGTGTTGTATTGACAGATTGTTGTGCTGCCAAAATAAATAAATTAATGAATTAACACTGCCTTAAAGATCAATACATTTCATAACTATTTTATTATCTATGTCCTTACTGTGATTGTGAATACTGTAGATGATTTATTGTTTATAAATCATATTTTTACAAACAATGATTTATAGCTTATTATAAATCATATTCATAGTGTTTCGTTAACATTCACTGACGGCTCCTCCGACTGAAGAATGTAAATTTGCTGTTTGTCAGTGAACGTGTCAAACCACAGCTCCCACCTCATCCATCACGACCATCACACACAGCAATAGACTCGTTTGCATTCAGACACTTTTCCCACATATATTAGAAACATAAAACCTGCAGCTCTCTCCAATAAATGTAAATTCTCCATCAATCATCAGCTGATAGAAACTGAGAGCAAGTCAATTACAGAATCGACCTGTGTGACTGGGGTTTCAAAAGGCTCCATACCATTTCTCTGGAGTGTAAATAATGTTTTGACAGAGCCTCCTCTCTTCTGATTGGCTCACAGACCTGTTATTACTAGAGATAGTTTTTATATCTTCTGATGGATCAACACTTCAAAATAAAGCACAGAAGAAGAAGAAAGTGGCACTGAGGGTATTTTATTTAAAAGCACAAAAATGCTACCAACACCGTCTGATTGACAGGTGAGTAGAAACACCACAGTAATTATCCATTAACAAGTAACACAATTTAAAAAAGTAGATTATCACTTAAATCATGTTGGTGTACGACAGGATGTAATTAGGAGACTGTCTGCGGGATGCAGAGACAGAGAGACAGAGAGAGAGAGAGAGAGAGAGAGAGAGAGAGAGAGAGAGAGAGAGAGACAGAGAGACAGAGAGAGAGAGACAGAGAGAGAGAGACAGACATTGTTCATGTTGAGAGAAGAAACTTTGTGGCTCATTATCTCTGAAACAGACGAGTTTCCAGAACAATCAAAGAGGTGCTTCGGTGATAATGGGGCTGCGATGTTCATTAAGACGCCGCGGACAGAGACAACAGGTGCTGTAATTACAGCTCTCCTGTAACGAGGGAGCGACCTCGGCTTTTAGGAATAATTACACATGGACAGGCGGCGCCG